TGGATCACTCCCTAACTGGAGGTCTCTATCGATCAAACATTAACGGCGAGAGACCTTCTTATAGCTTCCTATCTAAATACACTTAGCATATATCCTCGGAACATATAGATAAACCATTAAAAACATTGTATATGTTCCTATCTACTTATATACAATATATAGATATAATGTTTGTATATCGTAACCATATTAATATAATATTAATTACATATATATATATATATACGATTAGAGTAAATAATTAATCCTTATGCGTATATCACATCTGATCGTTCAGTCAGTATAGGAAGACCCTCGCCTCGCCATCGACACACGCAAAAACCCGTTTAATATACGTGCCCTATAATGTGTCTTCTTTCCCTTTAACGCTTCATTTCTCTCTAAGGATTCTGAAATTTGTCGCCTCGCTACACAACCTCTTTTCCATTCTCACTTTCTCTCCCTCTCCACCTCATGTCCTCTTTTTTTTTCTCGCTCTTCCAACATGTTAAACTAGTATCCCATAAGTAGCTACTATCTAAACAGACATTTAAGTTTTGGTAAAAACCTGAAATCGCCATCGAATATCAATATAATACACTTATTATGTACTTATAGTATAAATATAGGAACATTCATTAAATATATTTTCATATATATATATATAATATTATCGCGTCATATATATATATATATATTTATGTATTAATTTATCTATATATATTTTATATAGAATCTGCATATATACAAATATATATGTGCGTATATATACATATTTGTATATATTTATATATATTATTTGGTGTTGTAGCTATATAACTTTAAACGTGGTTTGAAATGCCCAATGTATTCCATAACGCCTGAACCATGGTTAGTCCATCATTTTCGGGGGAAAGTCGACGCGATTAAACCAAGGATATCTCCAAACGAGCCAAAGACAGACTAAAGGAAAAAGGTCGCGCGAATCAATAGATAGACCAGATATCGATTATTTTTTGAAATTCTTTCCGAGACTGCTCCTTTTCGTGTCCAAGAACACGTCACGTCGCGTCGGGTCGAACTTTCGCAATGCTCGACACACGCTTTCTTCATATTATATATATAGGCCATAAAAGAGACGGATTTTAATGGATCGCGGTGCCTGTGTGTATATAAATACGTATTCGTAAATATATGTATATTTAAGTATCACTCCTTAATTAAATTATACAAAATATCGCTTGTGTGATATATCGGGCGTCCGATTGTTCGACCCCGCGACGTTTTCGACGATTGAAAAATTCGATGATTCGCGGCCCCAACTTTTTCAAAATCTCGATCTTATTAATCTATACTTTTAATTCTCCCCATTTTTATCAAGATTAAATTTTGAAGAGGTTCTTGAAAAAGTCATACTGAGTGAAAACGATATCTCAATGAATTGTCAAATGTCGATGACATATACAGATCTGAAAATGTGATTTCTATGTGACAAGATGCAGTTTTCCGTGTCTATAGCGTCGAAAAAATTGAAGATTATATCCCTGAAATTTAATATCCCCCCCGCATTTCAAATTTCTATATCGAACTAGATAGATATATCGATAGCTGCAAAGTGCAATCCTCAATTTATACGATCGATGAATGTAAATGATAATCGCGGAAAACAACAAAAGCTTGCCAGCCTGCACTTTGTATGATAACGAAATTGCGCTAATCTAATTTATCTCACAGATTTTTCAGAAATGCATTAAAGGCCGAATCAGAAAATTGTAACACGCGATCGAGCCGCAAGATTTGAAACTTTCGCATACATACATCATTGTAATTGCGGTACCGTAATTGGCATTACTATCACTGGATGCTCTGTAAAATATGCGAGATGTTAGTCAACCCTCGAAACACCCCAACCGTAATATTAACAATTTTATCTTAAATTCTTTTTCTTATTCTTTTTAATTCTTTCTATTTTATTTTATTTTAAATTAAAATTATGAAACTATTACCCTCATGAAAAAATATAATTATATGATTTTTTATATCTTAAACAGAGAGAGAGAGAGAAAAGAAAAAAATAAATGCATATGCATATAATATATAATTATAGTGGCCATAAAATTTTCAACACGAATCGATTCCAAAAAAATCTGTAATGAAATTCGTACAAAATGGTTCTTTTTTTACTTTTGTTAATGGACGAGAAATGGAGAAAGGGTTTGGTATTCCCAGGATTAACCCCCGGAACTTCAAGCATGCATCCCGTAGACATTCGTACGCCCTGATATCGCGGTACTGATATCGCCAGTCTGAAAGTACGAGCCGTAGCGATGCGAGTCAAAAACTATCCGCGATCGTCTCGCACACGCCTGGGGCGCGGCGATAAATATATTATTCCCGCCACACATATTCGGTAGATAGGTAGCTTGCTACACGTTTTACGTGGAGTTCGATTGAAAGACGACTGGCTATCACGCGAGCTAACGTGCGATGCGGAGAGTCGCGCACACGCCGCGCGCGTCGCGATTAATTGATTCCCGGAATTCGATGTAAGTTGGAGCGAGACTGTAAACGAGTCCACGCGAGATTCGATATTCGCGATGTGTACTATACATATTATCCTTCGACCATGTCGATTTGACCGATCTTCGGCGTGTTCTCTATCGGTTCTAGCTCGAAACACACTAGCTGCAACGTTCTGTTATACGTATGTTTGTGACATTTGTCAATAGAACTAATAAAGAGCGACAAAATCATGTAATTTTATATAATCGATAATTCCAAGTATTTATTATAGATATCGTTCTTCATCTCTTTAATAATTTGAGAATTTGTAAATTAATTAAAAATAAAAATATTGTAATTATGTTAATTTTATCAATATTTTTAATTTTTTTTATACTATTGATAATAATACGTTACCGCATATATTACTCTGAAAATATCTTTGATATAACTGATTTAATGTTGCAATTTGCAACGTGATGGATTAAATAATCAATATACCTCGTGACAAATGGCATTATTGTAGTATAGAACATTATTGCAGCACATTAAACTATCTCAAAGCGATTCGTAGCTAAAAATAAATACGGCCGTATCGCGCGAATTGGAGAATTTTTCGATGATAACGAAATATTGCGATTTTATCACATACAGAGTTCAAATTATAATTGCGTACATTGTAGAAAATATTTTTCTGCGCTCGCATTTATAACTCATTCACGATAAAAAAAAAAAAAATTTAATCGGCTTTATCACATATAATTACAGCTCAGTCCCGGATTCCAATTAATTGTGAGAAAAGTGACTAGTAGTCTCTAGTGCAATATTATAATTAGCCTGTATTACAATACTAAATGACTGGCACACATTACTAAAATATCACATTGCATAATCGTTACTTTAAGGTACCTTGGTATTTACGCGATCACGTGTCCTTAAAAGAATATATACGTTCTTCGTTCCCGATGTTTATCAAGGACGATAGGAAAGAATCGCGACGGTTCTGTATCGACTGTCCCGAGGATACGCGCTTCCCTCTTCCGTGTCGGTTAATTCAACAAAGCGACGTTTAGCCGATCCGAAGAGAGTCGTACTATCGTCTCTACAAAATACAATTAATACGGTAACTAGAAGTAACAACGCATTCCGTTGTAACGTTCCGTTGTAAACGAGATTAAATTGTCCGCGTACTATTACTATTTAGCGTTATTACGCTCGAACGCAAACAGCACTACGTCCGGCGGTGCTTCCGGTGGTGGTTTAATTCGGGACGTACTTTCATTCGTTCCCATCTTCCACTACGAACGGACAACCGAATTCGGAAAGCGGCAAACGTTTCCGAAATTGCATTCTGCGTTGCAGGATACGACTGCGTTTTCTCGCCTCGCTCTACTTTGGTACAGAATAATCGTTTGGCACTGTCGCTATCGTTCTACAATAGTCTGTCGCGATTCAAGTCGTAAGCAACGGAAATTACACGATCCTTTGCGATAGAATCGCAAATTCTTTAATCTTCTCCGGTGAGATCGCATCACAAAGGTACCGAAGAGATTCTCAAGATCTAAGAATCAGGGAGCTCAAAGATTGCGAAATTCATGGATCTTTAAATCTGAATCTCGCAAAATTGAGAATCGAACATCGCGCGTCAAAGCTCATCCTAAAGTATTAAAGATAAGTAAAATGATATATATGTCATTCAAATACATTAGTTAAAAAATAATATCCCAATAATGCTTAGCCTTCCACAATGTTATAAATTTTTAATATTATTAATATTAGATTATTATAAATATATTTTTGTGAAACCATCTATATAAATTATGCTGGTTAATATTAAGAAAATTATGATTAATATTTCAGAGTCAAATTAATTTAACGGTACAATAATATATTTTGTCGTTTCGAAAGATCTCGATAAAATTCGATTTTAGAGTTTCAAAATCTCCGACTTACGACGAAGCGATTTGCCTCGGTTACTCCACGACAAATTCGACGTGGACAGCGAAAATGGAACGCTAGTGGGCGGACATTGGGCAACTGGACTAACGATCGGGGCGTCAGGCGTCATGGAACTGTTTTCTTTAATCTTCTAATCCACGCTCCTCGAGCTCAAACATGCGAGGACCACATATATATGTCCGGCTTATTAGAGCGGACGAGAGTATGTATGTGTGTATATATATATATATATGGTGAATCGACCAAGAAAGTGGGAAATTAAAACGATGCGAATGCGAGCGAATTGTGTCTCGCCGCAAATTCTCGTTGACATTCGTTGGACACGTTTCTTTTAATAAAATCTCGACAGACGATAGTCGCACCACCGACCACGGACGAGAATATATCGACATATTATTTAATCGTTAAATTACATTCTTATTAAGAGACGGTATAATAATACGGTAATTATGGACTAAATTGGCCTATCGCAGCACCGGGCCGGTCTTGGAGGGAAATTGAATTTTCGCCCGACGGAATAGGTTCTCTTCTTTCTGTCTCTCTTTCTTTCTCACTCTCTCTATCTATTTCTTTTTCTCTTATTTTTTTTTTTTTCGCTAAACAGTTCCTTCTTTTGGCACGGTAGATATTAGCTGGCAATGTAGAGCTTTTCCTTACTCTTTTCTCCTCGCCGTGTTTCGTCTTCACGTTTCTCGTCTCTCGAGGTACCGGCCGGCCGGCATCTGGCGATCAACCCTATTCGTTAGATAGCACCTTCGTTATTCAACTTCGTTTCGCGTACTTTGGAGAGTGCGCGAGAGTACACAGAGTAGCAAGTACACTATAGGTATATCACTTAAGGGCTAAGTAAGTGTTCTGACCAAGTAGAGGGATTCGGCCTCGTAAATGATCCTTCGAGTTTGCTCAAGTTTCTCTAAGAAACGGCTCCCATCGTTTCTCTCTCTCTCTCTCTCTCTCTCTCTCTCTTCCTATCCCTCTCGCAACGAGATCGCACAATCGGACTTGGTTTATGAAGTGGTCGAAAGTTAAAGCTACTTACGAGACCGATCCCGAGAGAATGAGCCGGCCACTCTCGTTCTGCGCTCGCGCATAACTGGACAGCGTGTTGTTATTGTATATGTATGTACGGTAGGTATATTTAGCGTATATACACATATATCAATATCTAGGAGAGAATGGATAGCGACTGTAAGTGGAGAGGACTTTTGGAAGGACCGAATATAGACCGTGCAACAAGACGCTACTTCGCGGCTCCCGACGACAAACCTAAATCGCGCTGTGGTGTCTCTGTGGCGCGGGAGAAACGAAAGATATATAGATATTATATATTATTGCTATCCGCATCATCAAGGAAAGGATTATTCATTCGTTCATTCGAGAATTCAAAGGCACCGGCAACGCTTTCCGGGAGGCTTTCTCGCCCTCCCGATCGGTGCCAACGTCGAACACGTCGTTTTACACGGATGATGAACGCCATCGCGGAAATAGCTGTTCGATAAATAATTTAATCCTCTATGGATTGATGGAATCTCAAAACAAAATGTATCCCATTTTTATTATTATATGATATAAAAGAAAATTTTTTATTTTTATCTTCAGAAAGATTCTATTCATTTCTCGAAATCAATGATGAGTATATAATATAAATGTATATTTCTGTGTGTGTTAATAGATTGAATAAATAGCATTTGTTTTTCGGAAAAAAATATTTTGTTGAAGAAATATCGAAACTTACATCTCCCGATATTGCATATCAATATTTTAAACCTCTAATCCTTTCCGCGATATGATTCGATCGGGTTTTATATCATACGTTTGCTCGTGGCAAAAAGTAGATTAATAAAATAGGCCAGAAACTCCCTAGCTTTTAAAAAGTTCATCACGAAAAGTCGTTTGCGTGCCTCACCTTGCCTCTGACAACATAATCAAAGATGTCTGGAGTAGGTATTGCGGGACTTTAATAACTTGTCTCGGTTTCCATAGACACGAACATGCCGTGCACGCGTGTACGCCAATTGTCGAAAGTATATTTTTCGCGGTGAAAAAATGTTCCTCGAGTCGAGGAGAGTCCTGAAGATTTTAACCCACTCTAACAACTTGAGAAAAATTAATTTCGGAGAGAAGAAGAGTTAAGAATATTTAATTAAAGAGAGATATCTAATTAAGAGAATTTTAAAATAAAAATTCAATTCCATATTTTCTTTTCTCGATTCCTTTGAAATTAATCTGATCGAGTTCTCGAGAGAAAAGTGTGAATTCATTATCAGTAGAATCTCTCAACTAATTATGCGGAATCGAATATCATCCGTGTAAAAGTGAAAAAGGTCCGTCGACGTGTTCGCGTTTGCACGGAGCTGCAGCGTAGAGAGAAATTATCGTTATCGCACACGCGGCATTATCATCGCGAATTATATTACATATCGAGTACACACCGAGTATATCGAGGTTAAGCTATTACATTACAAATATATCACTTTGTCGATGGAGAGCACGAAGACGAAAAAGACAACAAAAAGAAGCCTTTGACCGTCGGCTTTCGCCCGCCGCGTCGTTGCGTTCTTTGGTTTTTTCTTTTTCTTCTCTTGGTTTCTCATATTCCTTATCACAAGTTAGTCTCACTGTCGTGTATTCCAAGAAATCATCGTCGGACGTACTACTGGTGGGTCGTAGCGATGAGAGATCGCGCTTAATCGCGCTGTTTTACACACTGTTTCTATTCTCTCCGTAATTGACGCGTCTTGTTGGGCCGGTTGTTAAGATGGATGGGACCGGGTTTCTATCTCTCTCATTTGCCTCTATTTTCTCTCAGTAAGGAGTCCCTTAGTGATTTTATCCGACTCTCCGTACTCTTTACAAGCGAAATTATTTTCGCTCGATAACGGTTAGCCGTGATCGTCGCGGACTGAGACTCGAGGGATAATCTTTTAATGGTGAACAATCAAATACTCGAAGATTTCAATTTTAATGTGCTTTATCGAAGCGCCGAAGCGGCGCTTGAGAAGCGTCCCTGTTGGTTGAACAACGCCAAAAAGATTATTGCCGCTACCACTTTGCGGTAGCTTAATCGCAGAATTAAACGCGACATGAGTTTCTATCCTTCAAATACCATAATTAGAGAAAATTTATTACAGTTGAGCGCGTAAATTGACTAGATACTTATTACCCGCCAGTCGCTCTCGATACCATGCAATTGAGCGCGCGGTAAATGTCGTTCAATTCGTTTCAACGTATTACATAATATTATCTTGGCGTGCAATTTTTTTTTTACAATATTAACCCTCGAGAGTCGCCCCGGAGAGAAAGAGGAACATTGCTCGCTGCTCGGCTTCGAGGATACCGAGATGGCTAGTAAGCCGAGCTGCGATCGCGTTAGCGCTGATGAATGTGCGTGGTGAGGTGCTTGGAGAGATAGTCGGCTCGGGCGAAGCATTTGCCGCACATCTCGCAGTGATACGGCCGTTCGCCGGTGTGGATGCGCAGGTGCCTCGTAAGGTCGCTCTTGCCGCCGAAGGCACGGCCGCAGAACAGGCAGACGAACGGCCGTTCGCCGGTGTGCTTGCGCACGTGTAGCTTGAGATTCTCCTTGGACCTGACGCACTTGCCGCAGAAGGGACAAGCGAAGCGGCGCTCGCGCCGATCGGCCTCGCGAGTTCCGCTACGAGCGAGGCTGATCATCGCCTCGCTAGGCTCGTGGGACCGATCGTCATCGACGGCGTTGTCGTCGACGTCGCCGACCTCGTTGCTGGTACCTCCGCCGCCGCCGCCGATACCGCCTCCGCCGATTCCGGCGGCCGCGGTTGTCTCCGTTATCTGCACCTCCACCGCATCGCCGAGATTCTCCTGGACGCTCGCGGTCTCCGAGACGCTCGTCTCGTCACCGCGGACGCTTTCGGAGAAGACGCCGCGTATCTCCTCGACGTCGCCTGGATTCGTGGTGTCGCTGCCGGTCTCCACCTGGGACGGCTCGCCGGTGCTAGATACCTGGTCGCTACGCTCGGCCGGCGCCGAGACGACCACGACGGCGGTGCTCTGCGACTCGGGCGCGCGCTGCAGCCGCTCGAGAGCGTGATTGAGACGGTGCTTCTTAAAGGATTTGAGATACCTGAACTGCATGCCGCACACGTCGCAGGTGAACAGCTTGTCGGCCGGTAGCCGAGCGCGATGATTCTGCTCGCGGTGCTTGACGTAGGCGGACCGATAGCGGTAACGCTGGCCGCATTGCTCGCACGTGAACGGCTTGTCGTCGCTGGTCTGGCCGGCGTGCTGGAGCAACGCGTGACGCTCCAGCAGCCACGGCGACGGGAACGTCGCCAGGCAGACGCCGCAGCGACGCGCCAATCCAGCCAGGCCGGTGAAGCCGCCGAGGATGCTGCCGCTGCCGCTGCCACCGCTCGTCCGCTCCACCAGAGCACCCCATCCGCCCGCTTCCAGGCCGAGGGCGAGCGAGACCTGTAACAGGGGGAGATCAATTATGATCGTACGATGCGACGATACTGATCGAATGTTTATTAGATGTCTTGTGTACATATTTATTGGAATCTTGAGATTTCATTTTATTGAAATCATTTTCATAAGCACTTTGATTAATTGCCCAATCAATTTGAATAATCGCAATAGTTTAAAGAGATGAAATCTGCGAATTATTCAAATAAAAAATATTCAGATTATGCTCGAGATAATTCCAATAATTCGGGAGATCCCGAATTTCGAGAAATCATTCGTATAATTTGATTAGTTTCATTAAAAAAGATTTTTGATCTGATTTTTTCGAAAACGTCTCTTTGAATACAGCTGGATGGCGCGCCGCAGCAGGTATCTCGGGAATTGTTTCACGCTCGAATAGAAGATTATGAACTATGCACTTACCCTTTGTATAGCGCACGGACGCAGCTTGTGATAGCGATAAACAATCCCTACGGCATAATGTCGCTCTGGGTTTCACGCGAGATTGGATACACGGGCGGGAATTGCCAGTACGTATAAAGATAGGCGTGACGTATTGTTAACACAAACAGTTTGCAGCTTTTATTTCACAAATTGTTAATTTACAACTATGATATGCATTCGTTCGTCTAAGAACCGAAACAAATCAGTTTTTATTCTTTTTTTACTTTTTTTTTTCACTTTTTTACGCCAAGCCAAATCATTTGTGGCTATTCCGCAATGATTCCGGAATGTTCAGAACGCGTTATATCGATGTTGGTGGAGTTTTACGGACAAGAGTGGGCTCTCTCTCTCCTTCGTTAACTTCTCTCCGAGATATCGAATTTTGCCGATTTTGTCGAAATGGTCCGATTCTCGATACAGCTGAAATGTATACGTGTACACAAACGTTCGCGCGTGTATGTATATATAAACGTTCTCTGTATTAAATCGAGACTGCGGTCAGCTCATAAATTCAGGACGCATTCGCACACGGTTGCGATCGAATCAATTGCGATCTCAGAGCTTTGGTTTACAATTTTATTGTATTAAATAATCTCGGATTAAGAAAAAAAATTTTAACTAGACCACCCAACAACCATCTGAAACGCAGCGCAGATCGAAACGTACATCCATCTTACACGTCTCGCTGTTTCAGTGAACGCTTGTACATCGCGAGTTGAATATGACGATACGCTCGATTACAATAAACTGGTGATTTTTGACAATATATATTTCCCTTTTATTTCCACTGACGAGTCGTTTGCGATGACAACAAACGCACGAGATTAGAGTCTGTTTATATTTTTTTTAATGCATATTTTTTTATGTTGGAGATAAAGTATGTTAAAATAAATATTTCAATATAAACTTTTTAAAATAATAGTTTATATTTCTTTAATTGTCGCGAAAGAGAAAAGATAATTAATAGATAAAATTTTCCTGATGGTTAAAATTATATGAAATTCTAACTAAAATGAATCTTATAAACTATACATTTTCACGTCACATTCTGGCTCTGAATTCTTCGTTTTTATCCAAACGTAACAATTTAAGTGATACGGCAACGATTGTGAGATTATTCTGCTAAAAGATGTGGACAGACTCTGACTTGATCGTTCTTAATTAGGTATCAAGTTAAGACATCAGTCGCTCTGATATCGCAAACGGCCCGTGGAAATAAACCAGGATATCCAAAAATGAGACCCATCGATTTAGCTGGTCTGTCGGTCGGCGGTTTCTTTTTTTATTCCACCGCAGCGAAGATCGCGCTTCGATAACTCACATACGTGTCCTATCGCAGACCATAATATCTAAGATCAGCAAGGTCGCACTCAGGAGTTCCGAGTATCACGCGATATCATACACATACAAGGTGTTTGAAAAGTAGAGAAGCGAAAAGTGCAGCCGAATGAAATATTTCGGCATGACGAATAATTGAAGAGAATCGTATGAGAGTTTTTGATATGAATAATTTCTTTTTTATTGGGAAAAGAAAAATTAGAACTTTAATTCATTCCATACGCGTGTAAAAATAATTTAATATTTTTAATTAATATGATGTTAATGACAAAAAAAAAAAGATTTAATTTGCAATTTGCTGAAATTGCACATCTACTCTATTCCCTTTTCTTATTGCATTTCTAAATATAATTAAAATAATTTCAAAGTAAATATGCACAATCATAGATATAATCTACATTTATACTGACGTAAAAAAATTAGCTAATCCAATTCAGAATAAAGTTGCAAATAATCGCGATTTATTGCATAGTTAACGAACAACACGTCATGTAGTTTTTAAACGTTTTATAATATAATAATATAATAACAATCAAATTCTTATTTTAAAAGTAACGTTCTCTGCTCGTTTTTTCTCTTTTCAAGCTTCGAGAGATCTTTTATCTTTATGAATAATAATTTATCGTTATAGAAACTTTGCGATCTCCAGAGTACGACCCAGAGAATCTCGAAACAAACGGTCAAGGCATTAACGTCCGATTTTGCGTTGTCTTTGTGAAAAAAAAAATGAAGATTTTCAATTAAATTAAAGATTTTCAAGCGTATAAGAGCGAGAATTATTGACGATGTTATTGATTACGTATATAAGCATTGAGATTTTCGAGTTTACTACTTCTATTCCGAGCTATGTAAAATAAACACGAGTTATATTGCTCTTAATTTTTTTCCCGCGACGACTCTCGGTGCATCTCGGATTATCGAGCGCGCGTTACCGAATGCATCGCGGGGAGATCGTAACGGCACCATTGGCGTTTACGTTCCGTTTATAGCTCTCCTCCTCCCTGTACCCGCTCTCGCAAAGACCGATAATCGAATTACTAACGCCGCGAGATAGTTTCAAGAGCCCCGGTCGCAAACAAACATTTTCTCGCCAGTGTCCAAATTTCGCGTCTCTCTTCGTTTCAAGAACGTCCGCTTTTTTTTTTTTTTTTTTTTTTTTTTAACGACAAACTATGTGCGTACACTGTACACATTTCTCCCTGTCTTTTAAATTTCTCTTTTTCTCTATCTCACACACGCATACACACACACGCTCTCTCTTTCTTTTTTCCCTTCAATATTCGATAATCAAGCGAATGGGCGTGGGTGCGCTTGGTGTCGAGATGTGTGCTAAGGTGGAATGGCATGTGGGGCATCGGTTCTTTAAAAATCGGATTACATTGTGTTGTTACGCTTTAACAGCACGTTATTAAATCTTGGAAAAGCAAAATCTAAGATCTGGTTGGCACAAAACGAAACGAGTAGTTGGTTGCCGCGGTACCGGCCGCGTCGCGTCGTAAACGGACGGACGGCGGGGACGCCGCAACGAGTCGTTACAAGTATGAAAAATATTCCGGTAACACCGTTTAAAAAAGTTATTGCATCTGGGTAACACCTATGTTGTATAGGTACGTTTCTCTCTCTGTGTATCGTATATTATACAAATATTGTTGTAAGTCGGTAGTACAAACGTTACTGTAGAAAACATAACAATTCGTATGTCTCTCGTATCGTTATACGGAAAGCTTAGTTAAGTGTTATACAATCTGTTAGTACTATATGCGAGATTTCGATCTACAGGGTGACTCCGAAAATATTGAACACTGCGTTGTCTCCGCGTGTGTGTTTTCCTCCGTGTACGTGTATATACGCTCTCTCCCCCCCCCTCTCTCTCTCTCTCTCTCTCTTTTGTGCTCTACTTTATTCTCTGTCTCAGTTGATTACTGGAGAATTCAGAAAAGAAATATGTATATATATATATATGTATGTACAAAACTCGATCGTGCTGCAATCGAGCCTCAACGGACGGACATTTATTTTCGTCAGCGTTTCGAAAACGTCATGATATTCAGTTGTAAAACCGGAAGAAAGTACGTATTCACATTGTAAGTAACATGCCATCGCAAAAATATTACGATATGAGAATGTTAAGAATTTATTAATTTAATAGATCGTAATAATTTAATCTCTTCAGGAACGGATTTATTAAAGCCGGAAATGTTTTCTCCTTTTTTTTTTCAATTTTATATTTATTCAAAATAGATTTATAATTATTAAAAAAAATAAAAAAATTTGAAAAATGATGTATTACATATGTGACCATTGTGCGTTAAGATTAATTATTCGTGAAAGGATTTTATATACTAAAATTAAAAATACAAATATGCGTTAATATCCCTGAAGAGATTAAAGGACTAAGCTCTTTTCCCTTGTGCTTTTTCGTTTACGACGCGCATTTTTTCGTAAATTATTAAAATGCGCGCCAAGTATATATGCTCGCGGAAGAAACGGACGCGGAAATGGTGGAAATGTGCATTCGTGGATCGTCGAACGATGTGCTTACTAAGTATCGCGGTTATACAATGTTGCTTCGCAGGACAATGACAGAAAACGTATGTGTCTTGGGCGCGAAATGTGCAACGAGTGCACAATATGATCGACGTCCGACAATGCTGAAAATTCTCAGTACTCTTAGCTTTCATTATATATTCTTTTAGCGCAGATATTTCGTCGACAATCGTACGTCTTAAAACTCTCTGTGCGAAAAATTCGCGTATGCTTCTCTGTATAAAATAAAACTTCGGAAAAAAAAACATATTCTTCGAATATTATTTTCATCTTATCTTAAATCTATATATTCTTCAATGCGCTAAATTATTTCCATATTTTTATACGCTTCAAGGTGTAAAGGATATTAATTTTACATCGCGGAGATTCAGCGTATTTTTTTTTTTTCGCATTGTGCCCCATCACGATCTCATAATCTTTTCCGATACAAAATCGGACACGTGGTCCTCGACTATCTCCGAGATACCAAATTGTTTTGCGAATACTCTTGGTCACGGACGTGCGAGATGAAAAATATTACGCGTGCAGGCAAGATAGTAACCACGTACATCGTGGCAAACACGCACGTACGTACGCACGCACACACGAGATGCGATAAATCGGTATTCATCAAACGCGGTTATCGAGCGCGTCGGCGAGCTGCACGCCCCGTAAGATATGACGTGTCG